AAACAAACTCTAGAAATAGTGATCAGCTAAAAATCAAGCAAGATTTATGATTGACTGGATGTGAGAGGTAGGGAGACATAGTTGTCAAGGATGATTCCCAGGTTACTGGATGGATAAATAAGTGATAATGTCTTTTACTGGGAGAAGAAACTTAATCTACACTGAAGTCTTATGGATTTATGAAAATTAATTTCCATGTCTATAATTTTAAAGTATTACCAGATATTTAGAAGCACATGGCCCATGTTGCTGCTGTGTTGCCTCAGAAGGAAAAGTGCTTTAAAATTCACCAGTTCCATGATTTCACTAGTGATTCACACCACATTGCTTTTATAACCTGATGACATTTTTTTTAATTAAATGTATATCACAGCGGTTCAACAGTCCATTTCTCCTATTTCTCCACACCCTTGCCCGCATTTGTTGTTTCTTGTCTTTTGGATAGTGGCTATTCTAACTGGCGTGAGGTGATACCTCACTGTGGTTTTAACTTGCATTTCCCTGGCAATTACCGATGTGGAGCATCTTTTCATGTGCCTGTTGGTCATTTGTATTTCTTCTTTGGGTAAGTGTCTGTTCAGGTTCTCTGCCTGTTTTTTGACTGAGTTATTTGTTTTTTGGGTGTTAAGGCATAGAGATCTTCATATATTTGGAATGTTAACCCTTTATCAGATGAGTTGTTTACAAATATATTCTCCCACACTGTGGGTTGCCTTTTTGTTCTGCTGACGGTGTCCTTTGTTGTACAGAAGCTTCTTAGTTTGATGTAGTCCCACTTGTTCATTTTTAATTTTGTTTCCCTTGCCTGAGGAGATGTGTCCAGGAAAAAAATGCTCATGTTTATATTCAGGAGATTTTTGCCTATGTTTTCTTCTAAGAGTTTTATGGTTTCATGATTTATGTTCAGGTCTTTGATCCATTTCAAATTCACTTTTGTGTCTGGAGTTAGACAGTTTCATTCTTTTATATGTAGCTGTCCAGTTTTGCCAACACCAGTTGCTGAAGATGCTATCTTTTCTCCATTGTATATTCATGGCTTCTTTATTGTCATGGCTTCTTTATTGTATATTAATTGACAATAGATACATGGGTTTATAACTGGGCTTTCTACTCTGTTCCATTGATCTACAGGTCTGTTCTTGTGCCAGTACCAAATTGTTTTGATACTGTAGCTTTGTAGTAGAGCTTGAAATCAGGGAGCATAATCCCCCCAGCTTTGTTCTTCTTTCTTAGGATTGTTTTGGCTATTCGGGGTCTTTTGAATTTTAAAATTATTTGTTGGTATTTTGATAGGGATTGCATTGAATCTGTAAATTGCTTTGGGCAGGATGGCCATTTTGACAATATTGATTCTTCCTATCCATGAGCACAGGATAGATTTCCATTTATTTGTGTCTTCTTTAATTTCTCTCATGAGTGTCATATTTTTCGAGTACAAGTCTTTCATCTCCTTGGTTAGGTTTATTCCTAGGGATTCTATTCTTTTTGATGAAATTGTAAATGGAGCTGTTTTCCTGGTTTCTCTTCCTGCTACTTCATTGTTAGTAAATAGGAGCACAACAGATTTCTGTGTATTCATTTTGTATCCTGCAACTTTACTGAATCCAGTTATTAGTTCTAATAGCTTTTTTAGTGGAGTCTTTAGGGTTTTCTACATATAATATCATGTCATGGGCAAATAGTGGCAGTTTAACTTCTTCCTTACCAATTTGGATGCCTTTTAACTCTTTGTGTTGTCTGATTGCTGTGTCTAGGACCTCCAGTACCTATGTAGAATAAAAGTGGTGACTGTTAGCATCCTTGTCTTGTTCCTGATATTAGAGGAAAAGCTTTCAGCTTTTCTCTATTAAGTATGATGTTGGCTGTGGGTTTGTCATATATGGCCTTTATTATGTTGATGTATGTATCCTCTATATCCATTTTGTTGAGAATTTTTATCATGAATAAATGTTAAATTTTGTCAAATGCTTTTTCAGCATCTATTGAGATAATCATATGGTTTTTATCTCTTTTGTTAATGTGGTACATAATATTGATTGATTTAGGAATATTGTATAATCTTGCATCCCTGGAATAAATACCATTTGGTCACGATGGATGATCTTTTTGATGTATTTTTTAATTCAGTTTGCTAATATTTGTCAAGGATTTTTTCATCTATGTTCATCAGGGATATTGGTAATTTTTTTTTGTGGTGTCTTTGTCTGGTTTTGGTATTAGTGTATGCTGGCTTCATAGAATGAGTTTGGAATTATTCCCTCCTCTTCTACCTTTTGGAATACGTTAAGAAGGATGGGTGTTAGCTCTTCTTTAAATATTTGATAATATTCAGCCGTGAAGTCATCTGGTCCAGGGGTCTTGTTTTTAGGCAGTTTTTTGATTACCAATTCAATTTCGTTGCTGGTAATTGGTCTGCTCAGATTTTATGTTTCTTTCTGGGTGTATCTTGGAAGGTTGTATTTTTCTAGGAAGTTGTCCATTTCTTCTAAGTTGTCCAATATATTGGCATGTATTTTTCATAGTTTTCTCTAACAATTCTTTGTATCTGCAGTATCCATTGTGATTATTCCTTCTTTGTTTCTGTTTCCATTTATGTGTGTACATTCTCTTTTTTTCTTGATAAGTCTGGCTAGGGGTTTATCTGTTTTGTTTGTTTTCTCAAAGAACCAGCTCCTGGCTTGACTTTTTTCTATTGTTCTATTCTCTATTTTATTTATTTCTGCTCTGATCTACATTATGTCCCTTCTCCTACTGACTTTGGGCCTCATTTGTTCTTCTTTTTCTAGGTTTTTAAATTTAAAATTTAGACTATTTATTTGGGATTGTTCTTGTTTCTTGAGATAAGCTTTTATTGCTATGTACTTTTCTCTTAGAAGTGCCTTTCCTGTATCCCACAGATTTGGGGTTGTTGTGTTTTTGTTTTCATTTGTCTCCAGGTATTGCTTGTTTGTTTTAATGTAGTCATTGATCCATTGGTTATTTAGAAGCATGTTGTATAGCCTTCATGTGTTTGTAAGTCTTTGTGTTTTCTTTGTCTAATTTATTTCTAGTTTCATACCACTGTGGTCTGAGAAGCTGCTTGATACAATTTCAATCTTTTTAAATTTATTGAGGCATTTCTTGTGGCCTAATATGTGATCTGTTCTGGAGAACGATCCATGTAAACTTGAGAAAAATGTGTATCCTGCTGCTTTTGGATGGAATGTTCTTAGATATCTGTTAAGTCCATTTGATATAATGTATTGTTCAGTGCCTCTGACTCCTTATTTATTTTCTGTCTTGTTGATCTGTCTATTGCTGTGAGTGGTGTGTTAAAGTCTCCTAAAATGAATGTGTTGCTCTATTTCCTCCTTTAATTCTGTTAGTAATTGGAGCCAAGCAAGCTGGGAGAGTCTCCCTCTGCCTGCCAGGCAGCAAAGTCTGCCTCTGCCACTGGGCCAAGTGGGTTGTCTGTCAGCAGTGCTGCGCAGCAGGGAGCCTCAGGGCTGTGTTGCCATCAAGGGGGATGCAGCATCTGGGGCTCCCAAGAATTCCCATAATTTTGAGCTGAGGAAGAGTTGGGAAGGTATCCTCCACCTGCCCTTTCTCCTGAGGGGAGAGTTCCATGCAACCCTCATCCTCTGTGGTATCCTTCCCACTGCTGGCAAGTCTTTCAAACTGCTGCCTCTGCTTTGGTCTCAGGACTAGTGGAGTGTGCCTGCCCTCCACACTGGCTGGAGTCTCAGCTCCCCCAGATTATTCTGCCTGTCCCTGTAATCACCAGAATCCAGTGTAATGTGGGCTCGTGCTCCTGAAGCAGATCTCCTGGGCCTGCTCTGCAGTGTTCCTTGGCTCCAACTCCCTACCTGCTCTTTTCCTCTTTCTCCCCCCTGTGGGCTGGGTTGGGGGAAGGACTTAGGTCCTGCTTGATCTTGGCTTTGCTGCCTCATCCTTTTCTGTGGGGTCCTCTTTTCTTCCTCAGGTGTAGGGGATCTGTTCTGCAGTCTTCAGGTCTAGTTTTCAGGTCTACTGGCATTTGCTGTATTTTCCTCTTTCATGTGTTCTTGGGAAGAAGTTTCCATCTTGCTTCTTATTCTGCCATCTTTAATCCTCACCTGATGACATCCTAAAGGAACTAACATCATTTACAAAAGGGCTATATCTATATATAAGTTGTTAAACAGAGCAGCAAGACCACTTTTGCTGGTCATTGCTCATTCAGGGATAAATGGGAAAGAGTTATAATAGCATTATAAGGAATCCAGTATTTTCTATATTTTCTTTTCAAAGTATAAATTTCCCAACTTGTTCCACTGAAAACTATGAGGATAATGAAATAATTCTAAACTATAAAAATAATAAATATAATTCTAAATTATGAAAATAATGACAACTCAGTAGCAATGAACACAGGGCCTAGGTTTTGGTTTCTACAAACTATTCTACATTAAAAGGAGTCAGTACTCCTTGGAAAACTGATCTCATGACCAGATCTAGGACAGGGTGTATGCTGATCAGCCTGTTACATCCTGCCATACCAAAAAGTAAGGAAGCTGTAAAGAACTAAGGAATCTTATCAAAAGGACTCAAACCCACACACATACACACAAAAACCTCCCACTGAAGTCATTTAAAAACTGTATCCTATTGCTTCCCCAACAGTTCTAGTACTTTAAAACCACAAATCTATACATCACCAATTTAATTTACAATTAAGAAAAACTTTTTTGATTAGTCTTCCCTTCATATTAGCCTCTTTGAATGGCCTCTACCTATTCAAAATTCAATCGCATAGTGCCAGGGATTTTATTCTATTCATTACTATACCTCAGGGCCTCAAAGATTTATTGAATGAATGAATGGAGTTAGTATAGGTAATGGACAGCTAACTACACAAAATTCAAAGAATAAGTATATTTTACTTCAGTGTAAAATGTCAGTATTTTTAAATTATTACTTTCATCTTAATATTAATTTCATTTTAATAAACAATTCATATAATATTCTCACAGCTGTCTTACCCAGTGTCTTCCATTAATGCCAAAGTGATTCGAGAGAGGACTCGGTTCTGGGTGTGAGAACCAGTCATTGCTTCATTCTGAAAATCACCAACAGATTTCAATTAGAAAACCAGACTCCTTAAAACTCCCAGTAATTTCTGTGATTACTTTTTTTTTATTAAGGTATCATTGATACACACTCTTATGAAGGTTTCACAATAAAAACAATGTGGTTATTACATTCATCCTTATTATCAAGTTCTCCCCAATACTCCATTGCAGTCACTGTCCATCAGTGTAGTAAGATGCCACAGAGTCCCTATTTGTCTTCTCTGAGTTATACTGTCTTCCCCATTCTGTGATTACTTTTATGTATATTCAAAATGTCTCAAGTGTGAGAAACAGACAAAATATTCACTTAAAATAGTAAAATACCAAGCTTTCTTTAAAATGGAAAGGCTGAAACTTAAAGCAAAATCTACTTTCTGCTTCAAATGTCTATATTTTGTACCATTCCCCTGATATGGTAGATAATCAGCACTCATTCTGATAAAAATGAAGATAAATATGGAAACAGAAATACTGTAAAATTATTATGCTTTCTAGGCAAAGTAAGTGAGTGGTTGAGACAGATGTCCATGTAATACTGGGAGGGGATATTAACTGAATTACAAAGAAAATGCTCTTATAAATCCTTAACTTTGTGATCACAGAAATACATACTAATATCTAAAACAGGTATCACAGAATCATAGGATCAAAGATGTTGCTGGACCTAAGATATCATCCACGTCTGTTATCTACCCAGTGTTTTAATTCTTATTGTAAAATTCCTACCAGGAGGTTACTTAATAGTAGGGTCTCTCTGAAGGAAGCATATTCCATCTTTGAGCAGCCCTGATTATTCTTCAAATTGTTATGTTGAACAATGGATGGTCACCTCAAATACTTTATCATCTTTTTAAAAAAATAGTTCAAGGACACAATGTTGATTTCAAAAAACAAGCAGTTAGTGAAACTAATGAAATTACTACTCTCAAGGGTTCTACTGAAAAGTAAATAAATTTTTATGTCTGGCCAAGCTATAGCTTTCTAAAGGGAATCACTTGAGAAAATTGCTTAAGGAAAAATAGACTAAAATTCCTGTGGGAGTAGTAAGTGTATGTGTCTTCCATAAGTTACCATCACTGTTATTTTGTGGTCACCTAGATAAGAACAGTCAACACAAACACTAATTTTACTCTTTTCAAAATTTTGTTAACTTAGGTCATGGTGTTTGCAAGCTGCAACTATCTAATCATCTAAACAGATCTTCTTAAATAAATGAATACCCTTTGACCCAGAAATTTCACTTCTAGGGATTTATTCTTCTCTTTTTATGCAAATAAATATGACTTTGAGTTAACTTTCTAGTTTGTTCCCCTGAAAACCTAATAAAGGTGTAATATCAGCTGTTATCAGGCAATAGTACTTAAAGAAAAAAATCATCAGGATATGCTAGTAGAGTGGGTATTATTGTAAATGAACATGAATGCCTGTCAAGCCAATTTGGGACTTTCCTGTGTATAGTGACTTCTGGGGATGTCCCTTATAGAGATCTAGAAGTTATGTCCATGGAACTTTAAAAAAAATCTTGGATCTCATGTGCAACATGGTACTTGTAAGCCAGGCTGGTTCTTACACCCTTTGTTATGGTCTTGTGTTCCTACATTTAAGCCGGAGGCGGAGGAAGAGTATCATGGATGACAGCCCCTAGACTGCTGTGTAAAGCACAAGAGAAATCAATCCCTGACTCTGCTGTGAAGGCATGGTGTGCCTTTTTTAATGTGTGTCCTTCTAAATCAATGTTTTTCAGTGTGACCTATTTAGGTCTTGTGTTTTTGATTGTTGAATTGAACCTGTAAGCACCCACTGGAAATAGAACACCACTTGTGGAAGTCATCACAGATATAAATATATTGTTCATTATAACATTTAAAACATAGTTGTTCATTAACACAGGACTATCGTTACATTCACATAATATTATGTAGTTGTTAAAAAAATTAGTAGATCTGAGTACATAGTCTATTCTATGGAAGCATGTGTTTTTGTGATGTGAATGAGCTCATGTGAGACTGGTAAGTAAGGGAATGACATGAGTATAATTTGGAATCATGTTGGTTCGTACTGGTTTTTCCCTGAATTTTAATGTGTTGTGCAATGGAGCAATAGCAGTACATCCAAAGTACATTAAGAGATCTGAACACAGCAACAGAGGAATGCTGCACTGTGCATGATGTCTGTTCACTCCACATTTTCCACTTGGTTCAGAATGGCCAGAGGCTCTATCTTGGAAATGCTTATTGCATGATTCTCTCTAATCTTTATATAGTTTACACATGTCTCCACTACTCAGATTTATAGTCTCCCTTCCAGCTACCACTGCTTTTTGTTGTTGTTTAAGCTAAGAAATACTGGAGTAAATATAGGGATTTATTGGAAATAGGGTATCTTTTTAAACTAAGCTAGTACTTTCATTATGACTTACTGCTTTTGTTAGTGTTCTGGTATTTGTTTTTCCACAAGCCTTTTTTTTTGTGTTTGATTTTAAATAAAGGTTTTTTCAGGAAAGCATCCATTGCATTTTAGCAGAAGCACCTGTACTGTACTGCCTTGGAAAGATGTCAAAGATACATTATTGAGTAGAAAATAGTTAAATAAATGTATGAACTCATTAAAAAAAAAACACCTGTGTGTGTTAGTGTGTCTATCTCTACATTTACATATATATATAAAACATTTCTGGAAGGATATACCAATAAGTTAAGTAGTGATTACATCTGGAAAATGGATCTGGAGAGCTGAAGGGGAAAAGAGAATTTTAGATTTTTTACTTTATAATCCATTTTTCTGTTTAAATAAGTTGAGTAAAAATTACTTTTACTAATGAAAAAGAATGCCCAGTAAAATTTTAAAATAAACTGACCTCTAATAACCGCTTTTCCCAATGGTTGAGCTCAGTGCCCATACCACCTTGATTTTCAAGTTCCATTCCCTCCAGAATTGGACAATTAAAATGTTTTCGTGCTTCATCCTAAGAATCAGAAAAAAAAGAAAAACTACAAAAGTACAATAAGATAACAGCAAACTCCTGATCACAATGATACAATAAAGTTGCCATTGAAGCTTACTTTCATAAAAAGACAGAACATCTTTACAAAATACGGCTTTTAATATAATTATTTTGATACTGTTAAACATTCTTCTTTGCTAGGAAATTACTATTTCTCTTATTATCTTTTCCTCTATTTAAGGATTTTGACTTTAAGTCACATTAGTCATACACTAGTATGATTGGCACTTGTAATCTTTGTGTCAACAATAATTTTAATGCAGATATAAACTTATGAATATAGTCTTTGTAGGAGACATGAGTCATTCATTAGGATACAATTTTGCTCATTTGTTCTTTTTTTTGTCCTTCAGTTAGAGATTCCCAGTGACAAGAAATATCCCAAAAGCCATACACAGATTCAGAAGGCAGAGAGAGCTGTGTGTAGTTGAGAAAGGGGGAAGGGAGATTAGGTTTCTGTCACCACCTAAGAGGATGTGATGGTTAATTTTAGGTGTCAGCTTGGCTGGGCCACAGAACCAGGATATTTGATCAAACATTATTCTGAATGTTTCTGTGAGGGTGTTTTTAGATGAGATTAACATTTAAATTAGTGGACTTTAAGTAAAGCAGATTACTCTCCATAATATAGTTGGGCCTCAATCAATCAGACGAAGGCCTTAATAGAACAAAGACTGACTTCAACTGAGCAAGAAGGGTTTCCACCAGCCAACCGCCTTTGGACCCAACTGCAACTTTTTCCTGAGTGTCCAGCCCTCCAGTCTACCCCATCATGTTTTAAATTTTCTAAACTTCCACAATTACATGAGCCAATTCCTTAAAATAAATCTTTCTTTTTTGTCAACACATGCCATTGGTTCTGTTTCTCTGAAGAGCCCTGAGTAATGCAGAATCCAAATGAAATGACCAGGAATTATGCAAATAGTACCAGTGATCTTAAGAGGTATCACAACAGAGCAGCAATGGCTTAAAACAATGGGTCTAACAGAGGACGTTTCCTCCAATTTCTTTTGGCCTATAGCTTTACAGTACTGCTTTTGTATTATTTTTCCAATGATAGGCTCTGAAATTTAATCATTAAGTTCTTAAACAGTAATGATTACTTAAAGAAAGGACCATAAGAAGGAAAAAGCGACAGCTCATGAGACATGAAGTTTAGTAATACTTACAACAACACGAGGTGTTACTAGAAGATACACAGTGTGAGGAACTCTCTTATTATCTCGAACATCCCATAATCTTTCCACTTTTCGAACTACTCTGTCACTCCACTGATACAGTCCAAGGCTGCAGTTAAAGAATAAAAGTCATTTTTGCAAATTCACTACTATTTTAAATGTAAAAGTGCTTATGAATATCAATATGAAATTAAAATTTTTTAGCTTATTATGTATTCAAGCCCATGCAAAATACTGGGTAGCATTTTCTAATTCAATCTTCTCAACAATCTTATGGAATTATCATCATTATTTTGTAGATAAAGGGACAAAAGCTTAGAGAGATGAAGTAACTTGCTCAAGTTCATATACTTGGCTACAATAACAATGAATTACTTTCCTTTAACAAATTTATTGGATAAAGCAAAAGCAAGTCCAGAGACATATCCAAGTATATAAGGAGATTTAATAATAAACAAAAAAAGGGCATTTTAATTTAACAAAGAAATATAACTTACTTAATAATGGTGCTGTGAAACTGGTTATATATCTAGGAAAAAAGTTAAATCCCTATTTCATCCTATATACAGAGATAAATTCTAGATAGATATAAGCAAAAATGGCAGAGCAAGGACCTCTAAAAATTCTCTGTTCATGAAAGCAATGTGAAAAGTAGCAAAACTGGCTAATCGACTTTTTCAAAACTCTGGAAATTAACCAAAGGCTTCCAGCAATCCAGGAAGCACTTATTTAAGAAAAATGGATGAATCTCAATAAGAACAGCAAGCTTTGTGACATTATCTATGTGGCAGCCTTGAAAAATATACCCTACAATCATGGTGAAAACCATCAGCCTAGCAGCTACCAAGAGGGGGCAGAACAGGGGAACCCTCCTACACTGTTGTGGGAATGTAAATGGTGCAACCACTGTGGAATACAATATGGAGGTTCCTCAAAAAACTAAAAAGAGACATACCATTTGACCCAGTAATTCCATTTTTAGGAATTTACCCGAAGAAAACAAAAATCCTGATTCAAAAAGCATATGCACACCTATATTTATTGCTGCACTATTTGCAACAGCCAAGATATGTAAGCAACCTAAGAGCCCATCAATAGATGAATGGATAAAGAATTTGTGGTACATATACATGATGGAATATTATTCAGTCATAAAAAGAAAAGAAATCTTCCCATTTGCAATAGCATGGGTAGAGCTAGAGGGTATTATGTTCAGTGAAATAAGCCAGATGGAGAAAGACAAATACCAAATGATTTCACTTATTTGTAGAGTATAAAAACAAAAAGAACAAAATAGCAGTAGACTCATAGACACCGAGAAGGGACTAGTGGTTACCAAGGGGGAGGGGATGAGGTGGATGGGGAGGGAGGGGGAAGGGGATAAAGGAGCACAATAATTCACAATCACAAAATAAGTTGGTCATGGGGATTAGTACAGCACGGAGAATACAGTTAATGATTCTGTAACATCTTACTATTGATAGTGACCACACTAGAGGGGGTGAGGATTTAGTAATATGGTAACTGTTGAACCACTGTGTTATATATTTTAAACCAACATAAGACTGTATATCAATGATACTTGAATAAAAAAAAAAAGGGCGGGGGAGGGGGAGGCAGATGGGGTTGACCAGGAGAATGCATTTAAAAACACATGATCCAACCACATGTCTCCAAGAGACAGCACAGACTCAAGGACACAAATAGGTTGAACATACATGGATTAAAAATATAACATGCAAAGAGTATTAAAGAGAGCTAGAATGGCTATACTAATATAGTTGGCAGCTATAAACATTTAACAAAATAGATTTTCAGACAGAAATTGTTACTAGAGACAAAGAGGGATGTTTATAATGATGAAGGATCAATTCTCTGAGAATATATAATAATTACAAATATATATGTACCTATAAGAACCCCAAAATATATGAAGTGAAAATAAATTCCAAATGGACTAAAGCTATGAATATAAAAAATTCAAATATTAATTTTCTAGAAGATATTTAGGAGAATATTTTTATAATCTTTGGAGGGCAGAAACTTTCTTAAGCAATAAAAGAAAAAACAGGTTAATTTAATGATACAAAAATTTCTGCATGGAAGTTGTAGCGCTCCAAAATCTTACGACTATAGACTATCTACGGTTAAAAGAACATATGGGATGTGAACAGATCCCAGAAATGGGCTTTAATTTGTCTGATTTCTCTCAGAGTGTTCAAGTACAGTTGGAAAATATCCATCATATCATAGACTAATTTTCACAAATGCCTAGGGTGCCTAAATGGTTTTCTTGGCTTCACTGGAGATGGCTGGTAATTATAGATTTGCTTTGTTTATGTCACCGTATTCCTATTATGTTAATATGTGTG